AGGAGCGACGGTCTAGACAGTCTCCTGGATTCGAAAGGAGCCCAGCCCCAATTTAACTCGCGCCTCTATTACGCTCTTGCTCCGCACAATCGGGTTTCAGCAAGATCAGATAAGAAGTGGTTCACAATGAGCCGATTTTAGTCTGCTCTAGCCTGGCAAGTTGGAGGCCGTCTCTATGGCGCAATTTAGACGTGCTCTTTGACCGGACATACTTGGACACGCTACCTCTCGTCCTGATTTTGCAGTGTATTGAGCCGAGACGATTGCAAAATTACCACAGAGTGCGAAGGACGGCTACGTGCGGCACATCAATCCAAAAAAATTCCTCCACTCAGCCGTGAAGCCCAGTCAGCCCCTGCAGTCGGATCAGCAGCCCCTGATCGACCTAACGGAGCTGCTGCCATGGAAATTCGCATTTGGCTTCCAGAACCTGTTTGGCACGGCTGGTGCCTTGCTAGAATATTTCGAGAACGGGATGTGGGCACGCTGGGGTTTGTGATCTTATGGGGTACGCGGCTGCCCTCAATGAAATTGAACGCTAAGTCAAATGGTCGCTGTGCCCCTGATGACCTTCTCCAGGAGAAATGGAGCCCGTTGGGGAGGAGACATGCGCTCCAACGGCTATCTGATTGATTGATTTGATTGATACGGAAACAACCGGTCGGCCGATGTCGGACGGGCCCCACACGGTTTGGTTACCAGACCTGTCACATGAGTTGCACAACCCGAGCAGGCCAACGCCAGCTCCGGCTCTCGTAGACGAAGTCTGGATAATCTGCATCTGGTAGGAAGGATGATACATCTCTTGTAAGGGGTGGTTGATAAGCTACATTCAACCTGTTTCTAAGCATGCCAGAATGATTGAAAAGGTCATTTCTAGAGGGCAGTGGGATGAACACGGAGCAGAAAGTCCCGTCACCACTTATCTGATCCGGAACAAGACACCCTGGCTACACAACGAAAATACGTACACATTACCTCGCGGATGCACTGCTGATCATTGCAATCCCCCCACTAACTATTGTCTGCTGTAGAATATTCTCCCCACTAGACGCTGACGGCCAGAGCTGATTTTTGAGATGTATGTACTGTACTCCGTACTCCTCTGGTCGACATCACCGTCGCCAAGCGTTCAGCTGGCAATGAAAAAGTTGTGTGTTAGCCGAGGAAGAGGCCGCACCCGGATCAGATTAGATCGGTAACGTTAACTCGGCTACTGGTGCGGTTGTTACTTACCGTCTCATTGCCGTTGTCAGGCCACCGGATGAATTCATCTCGGCTCATGCTATCCAGCACAGTACTGCATTCAGGAGGTGTGTATGATGTTTGACACTTATGATGGCCTGGACGTACTATGATATCAACACGAGACGTCAACTGGAGTTGCAGAATCCGTGCCTCCCACTCGGGATAGCTTTTCCACTCATTTGCCTCCCATTTCCTACCGACTCAAGTTAAATAACCCGCTAGCTGCAGATCCAGACTTACCCCGCGGAGAGACTGGGAGGGGTCCGTTCGCTCGAAGCACCCGATCGCTTGGCACAGTAGCGAATGATAATGTTCTTTTAGACTGTAGAATTGACTGAACAAGCCTATCGGACGCTCTGGCTTTGCAAAGACCCTCTGGATGGGAATTGACGCCCTGGTGTTGTGGGTTAGTTGTGGGATAAACGTTCCCGAACGGTCGCTGGAAGAGGACGGGTATTGTTACATACCGTGGAGAGAAACTGGAACCGGGTATCGATGGATGGACCTGTACGAGACATTTCCTCACCGAGTGGCAACCAGAAAAAGTCATGCTTTCATTCTTGAATAATTGTTCGCTACGATTTTTCGCCTCGCATTCTTCTCCCCTATTTGAATCCGTCACTGGTAGCTTCCCCACGTGCCCTATCTCATCGGTTTCTTTTCTCTTCCCTCCCACAAAATTCTGCTTCCTCCCTTGACTACTCTTGTTTTCTCAAAATCTCAATTCCATCATCCAGTTGTTTCATGTTCTCTGGATGAACGACCCCATACAAACCGGGAGAATCCTTTTCTGACACGTACAGACCCTAGCGCATTCGGAACCGTCCTCCCGGCGCCGTCTTGCCCCAGGCACATTATTATAGTACTGTAAAGTACTGTACATTCGCCCATTCGCCTCCTTCCACCTCCCTAAAACAGCATCGCTCTGATTCTCCGGGACTTCTTTCATTTCCGATCTGCTCCCTGCATCGTTCGTCCTTATCTAAATGCCCACTCGCTTTGTGGTGTCCACTGGTCTATTGTAGACCGTCTTCAATTGCCACTACCTTTGCTCATCCCTTTTCGTTGGGTTCGCTTTCTTTTTAAGTCCACTGTCGACCAACAATCACGTCTGCTCGATCCTTCAATCCGTCCCACATCGTCTCACTCTGCGCTTTGTTTTAATATCTTCACACGCTCGGAATCGGCGGGCAATTCTTTCGCTCTATACACGGCTTCACAGAGACATAATGGGTAAATCATACTTTTTTCCCTCCTTCCATTCCTCCGTCGGTATCTCTCAGCCACTGGCTCTTGCGGTTAAATACCACGGCCTAGTTTCTAACTCAATGACTGACATGTTTTCGTGTATGTAGTTCACGCCGTACCTCAGCCGCCTTCGTCAAGGCTGGCGACGCCACAGCCTCCCCTTGCCTTCAATGGGGACCACAAGAGCATCCCATTGTCCTCGACATCTCACCCCGATAACCCTGTCCCTGAAGAACCTCGAGGAGTTCGGGCACTGTCTGTAACCGACATCAATTTCAGTATTTCGTCACCATCATTGCGCGATACCGAATCCACCGGCTCCGAATCACCATCGCCTGCCCAGACGCCCGACACAGAGATCTCGTCCGATGCGGAAGAATCTTTGAAGAAATCCTCCGTGGAAGATGGCTCCGAGAAGCCCCGTCGAGCCTCCACCGTTCTGATCTCTCAGAACTCGGAGGATATGAGAAGAATCTTGGAGAATGTTGGCGTCGCTGGTACCCAAAAGCTCCAGCCTCTGTGCTGTGGTGGTGGTTGCTGTCGCAGCCAGCCTTTGGTCAACATTCCTACACCGTCGGTTGGAGCGAACGTCGTGACTCCTCCGGACAACAAGGCCTATGAGAGCCTCAAGCTCAATGTCGCTTACCTCACCTTGGACAGCGAATTGACAAACCTTGTGTCTCTACCAGAGAAAACGGTCTCTTTCTCTGCAATTCCGAAATCGGCAGTGGATTTGCAACTGGGTTCTGCAAACCACCCACCTCCTTTTGTCCAGCCTCATCCTCCGTATGACGTCTTCCGTGCGCCTTTGCACCATGCCCGGGAATTGACCAAGTCTGGTGCCGAAAAGCGTACATATCATTTTGACATCGACGTAACGGACTACCCTGCCGAGAGTGGTAGCGTCGATTTCGTCGTGGGTGGCGCCATTGGAGTATGCCCCAAGAACAAGGACGAGGAAGTCGATGATATCTTCAACCTTTTGGGTGTGCCCAAGTCGATTCGTGACAAGAAGATCACCGTGCGCACCTCGAAGGGTCGGTGGCCCACGATCTGGGGTGACGATCAACCCCGGGAGCTAATCACCACCCGGCGGGAGTTACTGAACTGGTGCTCCGACATTCAGAGCTATGCACCCACCAAGGGTCTATTCCGACTGCTCGCCGAGTATGCCAGTGAACCAAATGAAAAGAAGATCCTTTCGTTCCTCGCCTCCGCTCAGGGACAAGGTGCCTTCTGTGACCTGCGAACTAGCTCGCACATCAGCGTCTCTCAGTTGTTGCACGCTTTCCCCTCATCTCAACCCCCCTTGGATCACCTTCTCTCTGTCTTGAACACCCTGATGCCCAGGTTCTACTCCCTTTCTCAAGACCCCCTTCTCTCATGCAAGGAAAAGGGTACTCAAACTCGTCGTCTCGTTGAAGTAGCGGTGACTGTTGCCGAATCAGACGATTGGAAGGGAGGTATGCGCACGGGCGTTGGGTCAGGATTCCTCGAGCAGCTTGCACGCCAAGTGATCGAAGCGGAGAAGAAGGGTATCGACCCTGCCACTCTTGATATCCATGTTCCTATGTTCCGAGGCTTGATGGCCAACCCGCTGGCCAAGCAATTCACTTCTGACGGCCCCATGCTCTTGATCGGTGCCGGTGTCGGCATCGCTCCCTTCCGCGGTTTCGTACAGCGCCGCCTCCAGTCGGCCAATTGCGCTAACAAGGTCTGGGTCCTGCAGGGCGTCCGTGACTCCCTCTTGGACGAGCTGTACCGTGGCGAATGGGGCGTTGATGAGGAGAAGGTGCGCACGGTAGTGCAAAGCCGCCGTGGTGAGAGCAAGTATGTTCAGGAAGAGGTGCGCCATCAAGCTGATCTGGTCTGGTTTGTCATCAATGCCCTGGACGGCCGAGTCTTCGTCTGCGGTAGCGGTAAGGGTATGGGCGAGGGCGTTGAGGATGCTCTCGTCGATGTTGCCATGGCCAAGGGCAATTTGAACATGGAGGAAGCGAAGCAGTTCTGGGCGAACAAGAAGGAAGCCGGACAGTACATTGCCGTAAGTTCTCTAATTCTCAAGGCCAAGGCCTGGTTACTGGATCCATGGACGCTAATCTCAAAGCAGGAAACCTGGTAATGTCCTGAAATCGTGGGTTAGATTGATTCCAGCCGTAACACATGTTCATATATTCGCACATGTGTACTGCGCTCTTTTGTTTTGTGTTTGTTCTATCTTGGATATCTCTGTTATAATGTTGCTTTAGCGGGGTGGGCTTTGTTTTAAACATCTGTTCACGGTTGATCCGGAATGTCTGTCATCATGGAACTAAACATAGAATTAGTTGGTAGCAAATACCTAATGCACATTTCACAATGTCTGGCTGAGTTTGTTCTGGGGAAGTTGCTTAGTGTAACCGGTAGTGCTGAAAGGAGCACATGACCGCGAGTCAAGATATCTTTCCAAATCCCAAATTCCCACTTTCTTACATACCCACACAAATCATGGAACAAGTCTTTGCTCGCCAGCTTTGTCCCTGAAAAGGGATGCTAAGAAAAGGTTGTCCCACTTTTTTCTTCCAGATCGAGAGACTTTCAGGCTCTCAGCTGCAGTCTAGCCACAAGCTATCTCGGCTAAGATGTCTACAATCTGTTGAATGTGGAGATTAGCGTCCGGGACTATGCAAGAGGCTTTTTGGCCACCATGACTGAATCCCCTGAACCGCTCAATCATCGTCAGCCACAGCTCGGCCTTTCTTGCCTGGCTGTTTTCAGCTCTCGTATAATAGAGGCTTAAACAACCTAGCTTAGGACGACGGCGATGGAATGAATTTGGATCTTTCGCCGGCTTCATCTCTTAAAAGCCGTCCATTCATTCCCTGAACTAATCACTCCTTCCTTCTTTCTCTTCACCGGTCTCTCGTTCTTCTGTTTGCTGTCCTCTCTGACTTCAACTGTCAGGTGGACGAGCCGACCGACGGTCCTTTCTGCCTCGTTTTCTTTCTTGTTCAGACACACACTCGCTTTTCACAATGCCTCGCTTACCGTCTCTCGTTTCGCTTCTGTTGCTTTCGCGCTCCTTTCTCCCCGGTGTGTCGGCTGAAGAGACCGAGGTGGTGACATGCGCGACATCAACGCCCAATCCCTTTTCGAACCCGTCGTTTGAAAGTGGTATCACCGGCTGGGGATTTGCCTCGGGAACCTCTGGCAATGTTGTCTCGGGTGATGCAGCCGACGGCTCTTCATATGTGTGAGTAACGACCGTTCTTGAGGTCCTTTAACGCTTGGTTGCATGCTAACATTGTAATAGTGAGACGAGCGCGACCAGCACATCGGTGACTGTCCTACTATACCAGAGAAGTAGCACGTTCATTACGAATGGCCAGTATACCGCATCATTCCAATATCGCATCAAGCCGACTAGCGCTCACGCCAGTATGACTTGTTATATCAAGGCGTACATGGACTCTTTCACCACAGCCGGCCTCCTCGGAAGTGCCACCCAGTCTGTCTCTTCAAGCACGGTTGGTTGGGATACTCTTTCGTTCAGCTATACTCCCACCACCGCCGGAACACACACATTTGAGATCTATGGCTATTGTACTGGCACCACCCAGTATACTGGAGCCGCTATCGATTTGGACAATGTACAATTTGTTGGACCTGCGGTCACCTCATGTTCGACCCAGACCATCACGCTTACCCCTACGCAAGCCCCAACATCCACCGTGATTCCTCCCACCACTGCAATTCAGACACCCTCCTTGCTAGTGTCATCTCCGTCTGTGCTTTCATCGTCGATAGTTACTTCCCCCACGCCATCGGCTGTGACACCAGTGGTGATTACCAGCAGCAGCACACCCTCCTCGCAGGTCTCAGTGGTTGTACCTTCTCTTAGCACTGCTTCTTCCGCCAGCGCTGTTGCACCGTCCAGCGTTGCTACTTCGCCCAGCGTTGCTGCTACATCTGGTGCTGTTGTTTCGAGAATCAGCTCTTCATCTGCCGTCTCTCCTTTCTCGACCATTGCAGTCTCGGTTCCTTCTTCAAGCGGAGCAGGGACTCTGTCTGTTTCTTCCGCCCCTGTGTCTGCATTGAGCTCTCAGACTGCTATTTCTGTACTCAGCTCTGTGGCTGTTATTTCCCCAGTCTCTTCGGCGTCTCCCGTCATTTCTTCTTCCTCCGTTGCTGTTATTGCAGCCTCTTCCGTCGCGCCACTTGCCTCCTCCAGCAGCGGTGTCATCGCTTCTGGTGCTCCCTCCACGAGAAGAACAACCTACATCACCGAGACTATGACTGTCTCGGAGACAATTTGCTCCACAAGAGCATCCCAAACCCAACCCACTGCTATCGTGACAACCACTGGAACTTCTGGCCAGGGCGACTCGAGCGGAACGGAGGGCGGAAGCACTACATCAACCATTCTCAGCACTCGCACTGCAACCATCACCGCTTGCCCATCGAGTGTGTCGGACTGTCCTGCCTCTGCAAAGAGTACTTTTGTGACCACCGAGACTCTGGTGGTCTCTACAACTATTTGCCCTGTCACAATGACCCAGGCTCAACCTACCATTGGTGCCTCGCTTACAGGAGGATCCAATACTGCTCTGCCAGGCGGTGAAGAGGGCCGAAGCACTACCTCCACTGTCTTCAGTACTCGTACTGCAACCATCACGGCGTGCCCTTCCACCGTCCCTAACTGCCCCGCTTCCGCAAAGAGCACTTTTGTTACTACCGAGACTCTAGTCGTCTCAACGACTGTGTGCCCCGTGACTGCTTCTGCAACGGCCCACGGCATTAGTGGTGCCTCCACAGCCACAGTCCTTCCGACGGCCAGCGTTGGATCGAATTCTGGCTCCAGTGCGGCTTCCAACTCCTCATCTGGGCCTGGCGTTGTTTCAGGCTCGGGCTCGTCTGCTGGCTCCAATTCTGGCTCCAACTCTGGCTCCGATTCGGGTGTTTCTTCTGGCACTGTCACTAGCAATTCTAGTGGTTCACATGCTGGCTCAGGCCCTGGTCTCTCTGGTGGTTCTTCTACTGGTTCTTCTGCTGGAACCGGCTCCGGCTCCAGCACCACCTCCGGTAGCTCTGCTGGCACTAGCTCTGGCAACAGCTCTTCTGCCGGCTCTAGCTCCGGCTCTGCCTCCGGCTCCGGCTCCGGCACTACCTCTGGTAATAGCTCTGCTGGCTCTAGCTCTGGCAACAGCTCTCCTGCCGGCTCTGGCAACAGCTCTGCCGGCTCTAGCTCCGGCTCTGTCTCCGGCTCCGGCTCCGGCACTACCTCTGGTAATAGCTCTGCTGGCTCTAGCTCTGGCAATGGCTTTTCTGCCGGCTCTGTCTCCAGCTCCGGCTCCAGCACCACCTCCGGTAGCTCTGCTGGCACTAGCTCTGGCAACAGCTCTCCTGCCGGCTCTGGCAACAGCTCTGCTGGCTCGAGCTCCGGCTCTGTCTCCAGCTCCGGCACCAGCGCCATCTCCGGTAGCTCTGCTAGCACCAGCTCTAGCAACACCTCTTCTGCTAGCTCTGACTCTGACTCCAGCTCTTCCAGCGGCTCTAGCTTTGGCAATGGCTCTGCTTCCGGTGCTAGTGCTGCCTCTGGTTCTGCCTCCGGTTCTGCCTCTGGCAATGGCTCTTCCACCGGCTCTAGCTCCGGCTCTATTTCTACCGGTAGCTCCGGCAATGGCTCTTCTTCCGGTGCTAGTGCTGTCTCTGGATCTGCCTCTGAGTCGAGTTCTGATATTGCTCCTGTCACTGTCAGTGGTGTCTCGCCAGTGTCTGAGTCTGGAGACCAGACTGGAAGTGAACCTGAACAGGATGGAGCCACCTCCAAGGCACCTAGCGCAACCAATTCTCAGACCATTGGTGCTGCTTGGGGCAAGAACATTTCTGCTCCTGCCTCGTCTAGCACTGGGTTCCAAAGGATCCACAGCAGCACTTCAGCTGCTGCATCTTCCACTGCTGCAGTGACCGCAGTCTCAACCGCGTCTAGTGCAGCTGGTGCTCTGTTCACCGGTGCGGCTTCCGCCATGCACATTACAAATGGGCAAATGATTGGATCCCTTGCTGGTGGCTTGGTGTCTATGCTCCTTATGTTTGTCTAAGTGGCTCGACACTATAAAGTCTAGACACCATTATCAGTAAATGGCTCCCCGAGACCAGACACTCTTGCCTGTCACGGCCTGCTTGTTCATACCTACTATAATAGTCTTTGTACAAAGATGAATGTATATTCATGATCTGACCATAATATCTACAAATGAAGTGACATGATCTGGGTTTATTTGTCGTAAGTGGCACTGAGAGTATGCCAAGGTAGATGACATTAGCAATGCCAACCCAGCGCTGCGAGGCAGCGGTCAGTGAGAAGACCACCAACAATGATGATAGTAACCCTTGCTTCATTGGGATACTCGAACCTTCTAAGTTCGCCTTTTTCACAATCTTCTCTTTGCCAACCAATCAGAGTTCCTAGCTTCATTCATGATTCATTGTTGTCGTGGGTGTATCAAGCTGCTGCTACTGCTGTAGACGTCACGGGCAAGATGAATCAACCGAGTCTATTGTTATTGTTCCCCCGACCACATCGAACTATACACCAAGTCTCACGGGGTGGGAAAGAACCCAACCGCGCAAACAGAAAGCAACATGAGCCTAAGTCTATTGTTACTTCGAAGGACATATAGCACATTCTTACGGTTCCTAGATGAGTACTCTGCGAGACCTTTGAGCCGTATGCATCCGGATAGATCTCCGCCAGTCTAAGAAGCATGTCGAAACAGTATGGTGGCAGAGGATACCTCTAAATCCTCAGAAAAATTTAATATTCAAACTCATTTGAAACCGCCAAAAGACCAATAGATCTATCTACGGTACAGTGCCACACCATAATCCACACCCCACGAATCTCCCCAAAAGTACCAAACCCACCAGCCATAAGTCCCATGCAAGTCCACCCCCTCTCCATACTACAAGTCGGAAGAAAGAACAAGCAGACATGAGAGGGGGGAGAAGGCAAGGGTGTAACAACACAGTACTCCGTAGCTCATTACATATCCTTCCTCAGAAAAAGGTCCATCGATCGCATTTCCTAAGATCGCCAAGTCTCCCTTCTGACACACACACCGTACCACGTCGTACTCCAGGGTTGCTCGTAGGGCTAAAGAATGAGACACCCACCCAATGAGAGACACAGGGGGGAAAGAGGTGTGTGAGAGCGAGAGCGATCCACCATCTTGGGATGCTGTCACACCCAAGGGAAAATCAATGTGTACTATGCTGTGTCACTTACTAATTTCTTTTTTTTTTCTTTTTGCGGTATGGTGTTGTTACAAAGACATGCTGTATGTACATGACCCTGGAAGTGGCACTGACCACGAAAGTGCCATGCGGGGGAAGGATCGGGAACCCCAAATCCAGGGTGGCACAGATGCATGGCCTGTACGCCATTCCCCAACTAGACACAGAGGTGGCTTCACAAGCCTTGGGAAGTGGGAGGAGACGAAGCTCCGTGCTTTTATTGCATACACATATGTATTTGTGCTTGTGCCTGTACACTATGCACATGTACAACGGTCCAAAACTATGCTGCGAAACATGTTAGCATATGGAACACATACGACTGACGATTTAAGCGTCTGCTGTCACGGCAGTGATCAAATGCATTAGCCAAGGGAGAAGCAACGATTGGTGCACATCAGGGAAAAGGGAGTCAAGGACCGAAGTTTAAAAGATAAAAGAGCCGTTGGGGGTTGGGCAGATAGTAACGGATCAGGGACCACCACTTATTCTGACTTGCATAAGCTTTTCTTGGGTCTCCTGTCAGTGTGTCAGTGGGACTGGGAATGGAAGTCCATTTCCAGAGAGACAGGGAGAGAAAGACACCATGCAAGTGGGGGAAAGGGAGCTCGTCTCACTGCAGACGCTCGGCTTCCCCCCCCCCCCCCCCCGCTTCTCACGTTCTCCCAGTCACATCAAACTCTCACAGAAAGGAGGGGAGAGAAATTGTTGGAAGGCGAGCCCCGTGACAAATAAGGTCCTTTCGCTCATTTAAGCATTTAGGCAACTGGAGATGCATATGCTCTGACAGGACGTCAGGCTGTAAGAATCGGCCCAAAGAGGGAAAAGGATCTAACTCTTGAGGCGGGTCTTACATCTACAAAGAGAAGGTTTCGAAAGGCAGCAGCAGATGAAAAATCAAGGATGGCGTGCATGAAAGACCACATGTACAAATCCTCCGCGCATAGTCTCATGCAATTCGACTACGGACTCCCTCCGGCAATCCCCCTTGGAAATTTGGGGGTCTCCGGAGGCAAAGCAGAACATATACCTATGATGTAGTCCGTAAATGAGGTGGACGTAAAGCTGAGTGATGTTCCTAAATATTACCCTCGGATTCAGTACTTGGGAAGAGTTATTAAGGTCGGCGGCGGCCGGCGGTTGTTTCCCGCCTGTTGCCCTAAGTAGAGGCGTAACTATGATAGGTCAAAGCGATCGTGGGAGGAGAGAGAGCGAGAGAGTTCCCACCCACTTCCACCTTGCAGTTGCTGATGGCAAAGTGAATTAAGTATTTTATTCAATCAGGAGGCAAATATGTGGAAATGCTATAGCCAGGGATGAAGTCTAGCGGACTTGCTCGGTGATCATGGGCTGTCAAACCCCGCCGCGAGGACAGCAAGCGCAGAACCGACAGCTACTACGAGTAGTTATCATGCATGTCGTATCCTGTCGATCCCTTCCTACGTATATACAAATCACTCGAGGGAAGGGAGATCTGCTGCAGCAAAGTGGAGTGCAGATGGGTTTGATTTCCAGGTTTTCCCTGATCGCAACGGGGAGGGGGTGGGAGGTTCCAATGCACTGACGGATTCCTCTGGTCCAACTAAAACTGATCCTCTCTCTATCGGCCGGATGTACGAACAAGACCGACAGACAGCCAGACATGCGTCTTCTTCCCAGATCATGGGATGATCCCACAGACACCGACACATGATAAGGCTACATACAACAATGCGATACCACTTCGTGTTTTTCATGGTAGCGTGCAAGTCGCGCCGTTGAGCTGGCGTGCAGGCATGTCAAGGCGGACAAGAAGATAGTCAAGCATCGTGGTCTGTAAAATAGACTATACATGAACTGTTTTGCTGCAAGAGGAACCCTGTCTGCTTACCGAATTGGGGATGCCGCCGCTTTCGCAAGGACGGCTCAGTAAAATGGGCAATGCGTGAGTGTCTCAGAGCACGCACTTGAAACTCCGGTTGCTCCCGGATTGTTCAGTTAGAGTGGCTCCCGCTCGGTCGCAACCGGAGTGAGCCACGTGATTGGAGCAATACTACGGTGAATAGCCTTGAGTCGTTATACTTATCAAGAAAGTGATATGATTTTCATCCTCGGTCATAGAACGGAATTTACCTTCCTGCTGGGCAAGTAGGGTCTGGCAGGATTCAAACTGCTCTTTGACTGCACCCCAATGATAATCTGAATAATGGTGAGAAGGTCATGATGGAAGGAAACTAAAGGCTGGTGTCAAGGTACATACAGGTCCCCTACATAGATATGTCAATAGCATGTTTAGGAGTTTTAGATTGGGGTTCTATGGGAGTCACGGGCACGCCTCTGTAATAGACTAGAAGGACACGATCTAACAACAAGCTTCAATTGTACAGTGGGCAACAGCAGACCAGAGCGCCTACTTCAACCCTATCTGGTATACACATACCCCAAAAGATGGACACCCGCTAAGCTTCTACCACTGATCCTTAACTTCCTGAACCTGTCCTGGACCCCATCACCTACACTATCACGACTACTAATAATTAATCATGCCTCCTGGCATTAGCTTAGGTGACGGTCCGCCGGACACTACTTTCTCCAAGGGCCGCTCAGGATTGTTTCAAGACACGCACTTTTGCGCTTCTGCCACACTCCTAGCTGCTCCGTGAGCAAAAAGCGGCGCCAAGTTACGTCGAAAATGGAAAAGAGAAAGTGGCAGCCCTGTCGATTCCTGTAGGAATCTAATTCAGTAGTAAATAATTTACATTAACTTAGTATACTTGATGTAAGTACGGAATACATTCCTGTCACCATCCACCATCTCCGATCAATAACACATACCTGCATACATCCCTACACTTCGCTGTCTCTACTCATCTCCCTGTACGCGGAGGTCCGATCACCCTCCTCCTCTCTCCTCCATCTTCCCCCCTCGCATCAAAGGTGACATCTACCCAGCCCGGGATCCTCCATGCACATCGGTCAGATTCACCGCCATGTGATAGATCGGATCAAATCCCGGGTTTTGTGAAGCATCTTTCCAAATGCCAGTCAAGTCTGCCCTCACTTTCTGTTAGTTACTAATATTTCACTCCTCCCCCCCCCCTCCCTTCTCCAACCCCGTGCTTCATGCAGCAAGTCTCTCCCTTCTCTCTCTCTCTTCCCACCGGCGTCAAGTTCCGCCATATCAAAATGCTTTGAACTGGTCTCCAATACATGCCAACTCGGCCGATCCTTCCGCCCAGTCCGGGGAGAAAAACGTTGGTTGAGTGGCCAATCTATGCATAGGTAGGTATATGGATTCTTCCTGCATATTTCCCCCTTCTTTCCCTCCTCCTTCGACGACGTAGAAATTGGCATCTTAGCGACCGTTGCGATCGAAAATTCCCAAATCTCGGATATCCTTCTCTGGAACAGCACGGGGCCAAGCTCGCAGCGACTACATTTTGGCAGAAGAGGAGAATATGAAGGCAGAGACAAAGATAGACACTTCCCTGTCTATTGGATCCCCCGGCCCAGCTGCAGGGAGAGTAATTCAATCAGCTCGAAGTAGACAATCATCAAACTACCTAAAGAATTGTAACATGAAGCCAAATCCACGGAAACAAAAAGCAAAACAAAACAAAACATTCCCTCGAGCAGGTGAGTGAGTGAGTGAGTGAGTGACTGCCTGCCATCCCCTTACAAAGAAGCAAAGAAAAAAGCCACCCAAATACACATACACACACACCCACAAACGCGCGCAGAATGCACGCATGCACGTACGCACATACTGCACCCTTTTTTTCTCGCCCTACCGGAAAAACCAACTCGCAAGAGTCCCCCCTTGCCAAAATGAAACAATATGATGGAGAGAGAGAGAGAGAGAGAGAGAGAAAGAGCAAGTCGCGCTCGGTCCTTTCACTTCCCCCGCCTCTCTCTCTCTCTCTCTCTCTCTCTCTCTCATCTGTACCTAACCACCATACTTATGTAGGAACCCTAAAAGAGTAACCCCAGCGGACACGGTGTATGTACACCGTATAACGGTTTGAAGGGCCAATAAGGGGGGGGTAAATCTTCTTGAGGGATATGCTTCCAAGATCATGTACTGTACAGTATATTGAGTTGGTGGTGTGTTGTTCATGGGTTCGAGTCCCACGAGGGTCCGCAAGGGAGGGGGGGGGAAGGCCAAGCCCTTAAGGCCACACCTCTTCGAACTTACAGCCCAACTTATTACTCACCTAGCATTACTTCCAGTATCAAGAGGATAATATATGTACAGTATGCTCTAGGACCACCATCTACCCAGCTAGTCGTCCATTGTAGTATATGGGTGTACTGTACTAGGAATAAACCAACAATATGAACCACAAAAATACCCAGACTAGTGGGGTAGGTAAATAGGTACTGTACCTACTCAATATTGCATGAGTCAGGACAAAGACAACCCCCGAATCGAAGTTCACGAGTTGTTCCAGGTCAAGGTTCCCCCATCCTGCCACTCCAATCGGTCATTAGGTCGGTCGGCCGATCTATCCGTCCCGACTGGCTGGGACCGGATTTGAGGCTTGATTGGATACCTGGGCGATTTGGATTTCATCGAGTATTTCCTAATCCGACAAGAAGATCAAGGTTTTTTTTATCTATCTTTTTTTTTGTTGGGGGGGGGGGAGCAACAAAAAAAAAGTAAGGTCAGTCGAATCCTAATGGGTAAGGAAGAAGAAATGCGAAAAAGGGGGGGGAAAGTTTATCATGACGTGTAACAGCATAGGAAAGAGGGTCCTGATCGCATACTCAGTCTGTTCCCTTGCCGTCTTCATATTACTCATTTATTCATTTCAATTTTTTGTACACTGCGAAAGCCTTGAGCTGAAAAAAAAAAAAAAAGAAAAGAAAAGAATGGATGGAATTGTGGAGTTTTCTAGGTATGTAATGTACACAGGACACAGGACATGGGCTCGTTCGCTCTCCTCCTCTTTCCCTTGTTCAAAATATGTTTCTGGCCTTTGACATAGTTATCCGTGCGTAAGAAAGGAAAGAGGAGAAGAAGAAAAAAAAGAAGAAAAGAACCAATGCAAAAAGGGTTTCATCGCTATTGTTCTTCTTCAAAACGGCACAGTGAAGATATGGAAAACACACTCGGAGATTCTTCAAGGAGTCTGAGGGGAACCAGGAGGCCGCCCATTACCAACCGCGTCTCTTTTCCACAGCAGACAAACCAAAAAAATCTAAATGAATCCAACGCACTCAATGCATGTCGGAGCAATTTCCCGTAATCGAAAAATGTTGGGCCGATGGTTGCCAGATATGCAACAGACTCCGGATGCGAGATTTGAGATACTGAACCATGGTCCAGCGGAGACCAAAATGGCCACTGAGGAGAAGAGATTTGAAAATGTAGTACCTACTTTAAGAAGCAACTCAAATTCTGGCTGACTAATCATGTCCGTGGACGAAAATATAATTGATAAAGCAAAAGGCTTAGTATCAGCAAGGCTTGAATGGTTTGCTCTCTTGCGCTGTCTACCTAATGCTTTGGCATGTCGTAACAATAATTTCAATCATTAATGCTTCTCGGTTTTTCGAAATCTAGAGCGGGAATCATGCAAAGAGATTCGTAACATAGGAAAAGTGACCACAGGAAAGAGATAACAACAATAGACAGAAGAAGAACAGTCAGGGGAAGAAAGCCCAGTGTAGCTTGACATGATCACGTCACCCATGTACTGTACAAGATCATTTGAGCGCTCATTGAAAGTAAAAGGCCCATCCAAACCCAAACCCCTCAGGTGCATCGATGAAAGAAGGGTCGTCTAATATATGTTTGAAGAAGAAAACTCAAAATGCCGACCTGAACGTGATAAGCGCAAGCCAAACGCCTCAGATGCGAGAAGAAACAAGTAATGAATCAATGATTAAGGAAGCCAGGCAACGCCAATGCTGTGTAAACGGCGACCCGGACGTGCTTCCACGCGCGTATAAAAAGACTCCCCCCGTGGATTGGAACCATGCAAAGTGATTTTGAAGTCGATTAGAAAACGATAAAGGGTATCAAGAGCGGTCTTGTCAACCTCACTCGGCTCGGCTCGTAGATTCTGTGACAATCCAGAAAGTATAAAAAGGGAATAAAACAACTGTCGGCAAAAGCTCATGTCTATTCGATTGTCAATGTCGCAGGGGCTCCGTAAACTCATGACGTAGTGGATGTATTTCGTGGCAAATGTGACCAGTAGTCGGGATTCCTCGTCGGAATCAATTGGATCGCAACGTTTCAGGGCTTCGTGCCCATGTGGGGAGACGGCATTGACTCAGGAGACGTATGCTCCACGTCGCTGAAAGGTGACTGCCGCTGAGAATCGAGGTCATTGCCACCGTTCCGCATTTGGTTGCGAAGGGCAGGGAGCTGTCGCCGCCTTGCGTTGATGAACCAATTGCTAATCTAAGGAAAGAATGAGCAAATAGTGTGACGGAAAGACAAGGGGTGGTATCGACCTACCTGACTAATCGTAAGACCCGTACGAGTCATGAACATCTGCTTATCCTCCTCGCTGGGGTATGGGTGGTCAAGGTGCTCATGGAACCAGGCGCGCAGGATATCCGTGACCGGCTTCGGCAAGTTGCCCCGTCTGCGTTTATTCTTGGAGTCGATCGGATCGCCAAGGATGCCAAAATTGGATTGCTGGGCGTGTGATAGCGATTGCGGGGTGACTTGCTCCGAGTCGCTCTGGTACGCCATCGTGGGGTACGGGTATGCGACCTGGTTGGGCAACGAATGCGGCCCAGCGCCGCCCATAAACGAGTCCGCACTCCTCCTATCATTCAAGGGGCCGGAAATGTTGGCTGCAGGAAAACCGTGACCGCTCATAGGCCCAGCGCGAAAATCCTGTGCCGCATACTCGGGTCGCGACAAGCCCCTTGATTCCGAGAATGCAGCCGATGAAGGGGACATCCCCCGTTCGGGCAGAGACTGAAGATCGCGGATCGACGGCAGAATGGGACTGGGACCACGCGAAGTAAATCGAGTCGAAGCTGAAGCGGACTGAGGGGGATTTCCGGCTAGACGGCTATGAAGGGGGCTGCTGCTATCTCGTGAAAAAAGTTCACCAGGCCGGAAGTCGTCCGCCAATGGTAGCTTTGAGGGGGTGGCATAGGGCAGGCGATCGGACAGAGATCGGGAGGTTGGTGTCAGGTCGAAACTAGCTGAAAGGGGTCTTTCGCGCGTCTGTGGATGCTGGCGGGAGGCGAAATATGAAGTCGATTCAATTTCATCGTGGAGATGAGGAGGAAGAAGCTACAGCGGGCGTAACAAGACTAGTTTAGTTTTTTTTATACTCTCAGAGGCCTCAGCGACAGGAGCAATTGACTCTCAAACTCACCTCTCGGAAGGAAGGGAGGGCTGGAGTATGATCGGCTGTCATTCCACTTGCGTATGAGATAGCCATTTTTCCAGAAGAACCCTCGCCCAGATCACGATACTGGGACATAGACTGTAAAGTGCTAAAGAGTGGTGGTGGCGACGTTGAAACACGATGTGACTATCCGCTAGCGCAAAGACAGACAGACAGGGTAGATACAGCCGACCTGCGGCTCTTCAGACAATCCTGGGGGGATCGATTTAGAATGGCGAGGAATCCGATTTGGCGCGCGCGCGTCAAGTCTCTCTTATGTTGATCGAGAGAAGAAACCGAGAAGAGGGAGGCTAATCTAGCCAGGGTGGATTGTCGTGAGTGGTGGTGGGGTTGGTGGAATGAAAAAGGATAGGAGAGTGGAGGAGAGGAAGGAGGGGTGTGAGAGAGAGGGGAGGGGGGGGAATGGAAGTGGATTAAGAAGGATAAGATAAAGAATTGAAGGGGAAAGGGAGAGAGGTAGGATCGTGAGGATTAGTAGATTTTTTTGAATATTTGGTATGAATGCGACTCTGCTGCTGGAGGTGAAAATAGTGGATTTGAAGAGAGATATGGGCGAGATAGAATAGTAATATAGTTACCAGGGCCTGAGTCTAAAAGTACCTTGACATTGCCGCACACGATGACGATGGAGACAGCTGAACCAAGGTTATGCAAGGTAGGGAGTGAGGCAGCTCAACAATTGGATCTGGGCTGGGTGGACACCAGATCTCTTTTCTCAAGGTTGTCGGGGTTCAGACAAATAATTTTGGATTTGTTTTTATTTTAATTGATTTTTTTTTTCCTTAATCTAATTTCTGATTTTTTCTTTATTTTCTTTTTTGTTTTCTTTTTTTTCTTTCTCTTCTCCCCTTCGATATCCACCTCCTTCCTTCCTTTCCCTTTTTCTTTTTTTTGCACTTTACCCTTTTCTCCCTTCTCTTTTCCTTCAATGCCTATTTCGAATTCTTTTTCTCCCGCCAATTTTATACTTCTAATTTTGTCTGATTTCGAACTCGATCCTCTCCACGTACTAACTACCTTACTAGCCCTTTTTTGTTTTTTTTTTTTTACCTTTACCTTTCCATTCTATACCCCCGAATTGAATCGAAAATGTTTAGTATAGCACCGTTCAGATCATGCAGGCCGGTCTCCGAGATCCTGCAGAAAAAAAAACTAAACTGTACACTCCACACTATACATCATTTCCAAGCCCACACAGATTATATTGTCACCCAACAGGGGAGGCAATGCAAGTCCACCACCACCATGGTCAAGAGACGTAAGAGAGTAAGAGGGGCAAAATAGAAACACGAACAACCAGATCATATCCGCCTTCAACAAGACACAACACGCGCATCTTCCGCGCGCAGGCGCCCCCCCTCCCCCCGTCAGCTGTTCCATCCCAAGCCAAGCCCGTCAACCATGGAAAATATGGCAAGCAGTTAAGAACAGGGGGGGGTTATAAACCCAGTGAAGAACCGACGATCCTTGGAGGTGGAAGTGGGTACACTGACCACAGACTACGACGAACGGTTCGTCTCAACTTGTTCGCTCCCCTCAGTTTTACAACAGACATGCAACGAGAAGAGAGGATGAGCAAGCGAGCGCGCCAGGGGGGGGGGGAGGGGGGACAACTGCGAATGAAAGAAGTGATTGAGGTGAAATGTATACCGAGAGAGAGAATAGAGACAGAGCAAAGGAAAGGAACCACGGGGGAGAGAATTTCGTCATAACGATCGAGGAGTATAAATATTCAACAACAGTATCAATCCATTCTCATGGCCCTCCGTAAGTTTTCAATCATCTGGAGATCCGAATTACCCTCTTTCCCTTATTCGTTGTTGGTCCTTCTCGTTCCTCTTTTCGGACCCGACCTGACTCGTCTTTAGGGTTGTAGTCCTGACAGATGCCAAGGAATCTCGAAAGGGAGTGCTGGCTAGTTTTAGTAGTTGTTACAGTACCCATAATAAATAACCCCGGGGTGGATGGAAAGAGGGAGGAGATATGGCAGCCAGCCCACGAATAAGAGGAATTCGGATCATAGTCTCTTAGGCAGTTGCGTCTCCAGTGTATGCTCTAGTAGAGAGGTTAGTCAATCAGTGCGGTGGTCGAGTCGAAGCGTGTGTGATCACTACTGGAGCTCTTCCCTGGGTGTACTCCGGGTGTACTCCGTTGTTTGAACCGGTGTGTATGGAGAGGTTGTAACTATATCTGTCCAGCGCAGAGATGCAAGTTCCTAGCTTGATGGGGTTGGAGAGGGATCCGTTTCCATGAGGAACCATCCCTGCGCTAGGTCCCCAAATTGCCTACTGTGAAGCCAAAAGGAATCCTAGTCCTAGATGCCACATTTTAGTTGTATATTAGGCTTAGAAGTTTTGGGGTGACGATTTACCCCGTTTGCACATTTCCGATCCCATGCCTCTCTCGTTCCTCCTCTTCGATTCATGTTTTCATTGGATCAACATGGTTATGTTTTGGTGCCTTCCTTCCTTTTTGATTTTATTTATTTTATTTTGTGTTTTTTTTTTTTTTTGCTTTTTGTGTGGTTCATGCCAAACCTCATACCAAAATAGTGGGTGAATGACCCGTGTCATCCAGAAACGTCTGAGAGCCCGTTTCATTATCGTTGTTGGATGAACTTTTGGGGCTGGGGTGGTTAACAGAAAAGGGGATTGATGACAGCATCACAAAACAAACTCCCCCCTCCCCCCCGGCCCTCTTTCTTCAGTTCTCCCTCCCTACCTACCTATCCCGGCTCGCCAGGTTAGGCTAGCACCCTAGCACGCACCGGCGCCAGGGCAAAACGAAGCTGAAACTAAGGGCAACCATCGAAACCCCTTCATGGCACCCAGAACTCGAACCCGACCTCGAATTCGATCGAACACCTTCCTTCGCTGACTAGTGAGCTTCCAGAACCAGGCTAGCCCCCGTTCTTAATTGTTTGTCTTGCGTCCAAATTTTCTATCTTTCCTTCTTTCTTTTTTTAGCGACCATGTAGAGATCAAATGTTGTCTGGTCGTCTTGTCCCTTCCCCAAACTTCGATCCTAGGTACAGGAATACTGACTTGTCGCGGGCGACTTTTTGAGACATTATCTGTGGATAGGCGCCTCGGTTTCTGAGGTATGTGTTGTGGTGAAATCTAGTACTTGCGAGGGAGGCACTTGCCCCGTACCTTCACTGGGATGATGCTTGCTGAATGACAGCAGTGGAGGAGGGTGGGGATGTGTGTGTGATTGAGGGTGGTATGAAGAGCCTGGTATAATTTGTTCGACATGCAAACAGACCTTTTGGTTTTTACGATACGGTGGCGGGAGGATTCGATTCAGCACTTTGGGCCGGTCTAAATGACTCTGGCCTGCCTTACATTCGACTGTCCTGTCTCGATTAATTATTGCAGTCTCTGCTTGATTAAATACCGTAGACAGGTGGGGTGGTACGGGTTTCAGTCATCAACGGAAAATGCTTCCTGCACGCATTTCTTGTTTGAAAACGAAAGATTAGGGGGTACAGTAGAAAGTAATAAAGCCTCACCATGACCCTGGCTTACCCACTCACCTTTCAACGTCGTACAGGGCAATAATGGCCGGTAGCCCGGGGAAAGGGAGAAAGGGATACTAGGGGGCATCCCGGAAGCGCAATAATACAAGTAGGCACAGCACTCCAGCCAACGGATTGCTGAACCGACCAACGACACAGCACCAGCTCACTAGAAAGCTGCACCGGAGGCGCAAGGAAGCAAATCCTCTTCCTCAGGAACGGTCCGGAGCAGGTATGGCTGCAGGCCTCGCCCAAAGGGCTTGTATTCGTGCGGAGAGGAGGCGGGGCGATAGCACAATGCAGTACAGACTGTACAGTAGATATTGGCCCTGCAATAGAAATCAGTGTTCTCTTTCGGCTGCGAGGTTGTGTTGCGAACCAACCAATTATTTGAGATTCTCAAAAAGCAGACAAGAGACAATGTGACGATACATGAAGGGAAGAAGAGATCGTCGGGTTGGATCCACATTGCTGGTGGTGTCAAAAAGGCGCGGAGGCCGGTCACTGGACCATACAGAAAACGAGAAAGAGATCCCAAGTCATAGCTTATCCCAATTCGGACTACGGATAAGCAGGCTACATTTCAGGTTCAATCCGAGCAAGAATCAGATGGCCTCAAAAGAAGTCGGGAGAGACAATGTTCAGAAAGCGTAAATTGCAATGAGATACCAAGAAAGCAATAAGATGGAATGAAAAAGAAGAAAAGAAGAAAAAAAAAAACACAGAGAGAGAGAAAAAGAGCAAAAGAAGCAAAAAGGGAAGGCTTGTAACGTATACAACGTGTTGTCCAGGGTTTTTCCAAGGCGACTTGCCTTGCAGGATTCCCTAAACCGCGACGGCTACGGCGTCCCTCCCGCTGCAAGGTTGTTGAAGAGACAGGTTCGATCGAAGGCTCAGAGCGAATGATCGCGATCGATCGGTACCAAGCCAGGGAATGACAGGCGCACAGGGAGCCGGTCAGTCATTCCCCACGGCGGGGTAACTGAAAGGAATTGAACAATGACTGGATGACTGGGATAACTGACACTGGAAGCGAATGTCTCCTGTAGGCTGGGAGAGAGGGGGGAAGTGTGAGTGGTAACTTTAGAGGTGAGTAAGTTACATAGCATGTAACTGAGTAGTAACTAAAAGTACAGTACAACCGAAGTTGAACGGTAACAATCCCAGCTTCCGGGACAAGGATCGGCCACAGCAGCAGGAGCAGTTCTTCCTTTCCGACCGACCACCCCACTCGCCTGCCATCTTAGTCAATGTATCGTACGTCAGACATAAATCAGTTCATATTATTTTTTCAAGTCAAAGAGACGAAAACAATGACAATATATTTATCCACCTTGCGCCTAATAGACCGACCCGGACATCTAAGAAATATGTCTATAGAGTTTTGGAGCTTATTGGCACAATAGAGTAGAACAAACAGCCCTAAGGGATTGGTGGTCGTTGATAAATCAATCGACTTTGGGGGCCACCTTGCTGGTATCAATCAATCAATAGTCGATACGAAGCCGGATTGAGTTTTGGCCCTCTGACTGGCTCGAAGAGCCGCATGTTCGCTATGGTTCCGTATCACCGCCCCTTCCCGGCCCTTCTTTGCTCCCCCTCCACCCTCTTCCCTTCTTTACGAAAGCAGCGTGATCAAGGTGGATGACATGACTGAAGGAGGTTCTACCGTACTAACGCCATTGAGGTGAGGAGTGGCCTGAATTAATTGGTGCGACCTGCCATAT